ATGTATTAAGTAATATATTACGTCATGGAATAACTTGTCAAGAAATAGACATTAGACTCGGTCTTCGAAATGTTTCACATCTTTGCAGCCTGTTAAAGAAAGTCACTTGTGTGCTTTCGTCCTGTTGGATTAAAGAATTAAGGAAATAATATACGGCAGTGCTCCTAAATCTTCCTCTAACTTTTTACTATTGAATTTTGCGCATCGCGACGAAAATTGAATCGACCCGAATTCTCTGGCGATAATTATAATCTGACAAAGTAAATTAGTGTCTGGTCGTCGATATTGCACTTTTCAATTTGATTCCACCGCTCCGGGATATTAACGTTAATGGGTAATACAGGATTAAAAAGTGGGATTCAATTTAAACGTTTTTGGCGAGTCTTTTGTACTTCTAGAAGCTTTTTTTATTCCATTTGATACAACAAATGGTATTGTAATATGGGCTCAGCTTAATGGAAACAATTAAGTATCGAGAGAGACGTAAAGAAAAGTTTTCAGACAAGTATATTTATGAAAATAGTCAACGAGCGACAATTGTTCAACGAACAACTAGAACTAAAAGGAAGACACACGGATTACTGTAAAATGGGATTGTGCTACTACTAAGAAGTAATCTTGCGTTACACATAATAAAAGCGGATTTTGGAATTGTGTAGTGCCGGCAAAATTGGCCAGGAAGAAACGGAACTTTTGCGATTATCTCAAGACCCTTATTTTGTCGAATGTTAAATATTATATTAAAATGTCTATAGACGTATGATATAAGTATATATCTATATTGTATATTTATATTCTTTTTGAACACTTTTCCAATTGTATATGGTTAAATCTTTACGAATACATGAGTTATTCGTGACATGTTTTTCCTATAATGCAAGAATGTTCTTATTAGCAATCCATCTAGCAAGATTGAAATTTAAATATGTCTGAACAGTAAAATTGTTTCCGCAGTGTGTGTGTGTGTGTGTGTGTGTGTGTGTGTGTGAGAGAGCCGCGGGAAAGAACTTTCTTTTCGAGAAAGGTATGATACTCGAGGAAATATCTCGTCAATAAACAACTGTGATTTCACCAACATCGAGACCGAAGCTCAAAGATTACATGTAGACGCTACATTATTCATGAAGCCCTTTTTTCCCTATGCCCTCCAAGATTATCTTACCGTTACCTGTTTAATGGTACCGGCAGTGTAGTCCAAGTTTAAATATTTCGTAACGGCGGGATTTCTTCCTGACGACTCGCGGCGACCCGGGAAGATAAGACAACATTGTGAAATCGCCGCGAGGAGGAATAATACCCGGGACACCTGAAGTACCTGTTAATAATGCGCATTTCAATCTTCTACCCCGCCGCGAAGATAGAAAAAGTCAAAGCGTACGAAAAGATAAGTGCGTGAGGCATAACATTACTTCTGGCTGCCGTCCCGCTTCTATTCCGCTTTTAAATTAAAACTGAGCTCCGCGTATTAAAATTCTCGGCATGCGCAAACGGGAATTTCAATATTTCGCGTCCAATTTGCAAGTCGCGCGCGAACGGACTTTCTATATTCAGAAGACGTTTTCGCATATACGGGGGGAGGGCGCGCACGAATGTAGATAAGAACGATACCGTTTGCGTGATACGGCGCGTTAGAGACACCAGAAATCCAGACGTGCGTTCCCGAGGACGGCAAAATAACATCGTCCGCAAACGCTCCGAACGCCATTTAACCCATCAGCCGGCTGTGTTTCCGCTGCGTTTTGCGCGATCGCGCGACTCATGGGATACGTTCCGGGCCCGCGTTGCGTTTATGACGTTATATCCGACGTTAATCTTTCGTTTCGCGAGGGGGATTCTAAAACAGAAAGAACACACGTACGACGAGCCATAACACCGTAGCCGTTCGTTCTCCGCGGTCTCTTTTTTTCATGAAACTAATTTTCAGTTTTTCCGACCCCGTAAATTTCCCAGACCCGCGCTGCGCTCTTCGCTCGTTATTTCCCCATAGACTCGCGAGCTCGCGTTTCCGCCGTGGGCGAAATACTTTTAGATCGATAACTCATTTTTATCATTTAAAACGCTTCTTCGTCCGTACACCGCCGCCCGGACCCGGTGGGACCTGGACCGAGGGACACGATCTCGACAAATATAATTCGAATGCGAGTCGCTGATGGCGTCGAGAGCGATTGCCGCGGGTGAGCGAGTGACGGCGGCCGTGACGGACAGTTCCTTGTTACTTCCCGTTTCCCGCGACAACCTTTACCCCACGTCCACATTATACTTGCTCAAGCAAACCCGACTGTAAATCAACCGACGCATTTGCGCGGTCATTACGCGACGGAGCTTGTAAATAATTTCATCTTATCGTTGCCGGCGCTCCGTCGGCCGGAATCGCGCGGAGGGGGCGAGTTAATGGTCGACTACCGTCATTCCCCTTGGACTTTTCGCTAATTCGCACGGTACGGAAGTTTAACGAGATTACATAGCGCCGACGTCCGCCTCGAATTTAATTCGAATCAATTCACCACCATTATTTTCCTTCTACACCGTTTCACCTTTTTTCCTTCCGGCCATTTAGCGGGCGATGATTTAACTGCGCCACGTAAAAGAAGTACGTTTTTACAGTTCCGAGGGCGAAAGGGGAAAAGCTTTTATTTATTTAATATTGCGTCTGTGAAATGTTCGATACGGTGATAAATAATTGCCTCATTTCTCTAACAGCCAGTTAAATCAATTGTCTCGTTTTCTTCGCATTTATCTGCAATTCGAAAATCACTTGGAAAAGGTCGAAATACTTCAGTGCTTTAGCCGATATTTACAATCTCTTTGAATCTAGATATAGTCGCTTTTATCCTGTGGCTTTTACTAAAACTATTCCAGAGGATTTGAAAAACGTTTAATTATCTTACAATGAGTTAAATATGTCAAAGCTTCCTGATCTATTAATTACGAATGATTTTAAATAAACTTTTAACGAAAATTAGCTCGATTTATGCGAACCTGATTTCTAATGTGGGGTCGTTCTATGTAATAGCGCGCGCGCGCTTGTTTATAGTTACTTGAGGACTATCGATAGATGCCCGCAGGAAATAAGTAACGGGAAGACATCATGGTAAAAATGGCGCGAAACAATGTTCCACGGTGAAGAGATTAATATCGCATTTCCCCGCGGACCTTTCTCGCATTTTTGTCGACAAGGTATATACTAACTCTTGAATTTCAGTTACATCTTGCTTCACAAATAGCCGGAGAATTCTCGCTTGGTTTCCCCGCACGGTTTTCTCCGCACGTTTAGATCTTTGATCCAACCTCTCTCGAATTCTGCACGGCGCCGCCATTACCGCAGGAGTTCGCGAAGTAGACCGGCGAAGTGGCGCACAGCCGCGCGCGCGTTGCAGGACCCGATCGAAAATGGAAAGGAAGCTGCAATGAAACACATCTCTGACTGGCTGGTGGCCCAAAACCACCGGGCTGAATGGCGGCGAGAGTAACGGCGGCTTTCAGGCCCGGAGTGGCTGTCGCTCGTAACGTTCGCTTAGTCTCTCCTTCGCATCCCGGATCTTCCTCACGTGAGGGCGACTCGCTCATTATTCGTCGGTGTTTTATAAATCCGCTGCCGCGCCGTCTCTGTCCCATCCGATTTGTTACAATTTATCGCGGATGATGCCTTAACGCGTCCCTTCAGCGATCTCGCATGAAGACCCTAAATCTCACCCTACAGCAAAAGGGATATGAATGCACGGCGAGAGTTTTTACGAACAAGAAGGGTGGACGTGTTTACTGAGCAGGGATGCGCATAAGTCTTTGGAGAAGAGTAAAAATGCTATCTAATTCTATATTCTGTTTCGATCAAGTAATTGGCAAAGTAACACTACTTTAAATGATTGAATTCTTCGAAATTGTCTGTTTACATTTTGAACAGAGATTTTCTTCTTGTTACGTCTACCTCTTTCATATTTTATATTAATTAATGGCTACATTGTTACACAATTATACGTTTGGAATAATACATGTTTGACGAGGAAACTTCAACAAACCTGTAAGACAAAAATTTCTAAACATTTGTGATTTACAAAAATATATTTATGAATACTTCCAAAAGTTTTCAAAAACATTTTGTAACTGTATAGTTTTAAATCATTTCTAAATAATTACAAAAAGTAATAATAAGTAATAAGTTTAATCTCCGGAAATAAACATATATTTATAAAGATTAATCTTACTGTAATTAAATATATAATATTTCTATAAAAACCATAAATTTGCCACAAGTAAATTTATTTTCTGAGCAGGAATTAAATGAAATTTTTTAAACAAGTAATTAGAAAAATTAGATATATTTTACAGAAAGGTATACTCTGTCATTATAGCCAAACTTCTTTCTAACCAATAAATATCGAAGAAAATATCACAAGTAACATTTGTTTCTGAATATTTTGACTTTTTCCTGTCAGTGCATATATACTACAATGACTTGTGCAACATGAAATAATATATCGTTTTTTGTTACAATTTTGATTGCCGTAGCTTCCGCAGTAGCTCCAATTGCACATAAACGACCCGTAAAAAGTCAGATTTTGTATGTATTTCAAACGAAATAATTTTGGTGCTCTTCGATTTCAAAGTGCTTTTTATTTATGCAATTTATTCTTAATTGACGTACATTTGTAGTTAAATCTTATTTTGTTAAAAAACGAACCGCTTACGCTCGCGTAACGCACTCCTTTGTACCAAACTATATCCAGTCTTAAAGAATGTGTTTCAAGATTGAAACGGCCACAGCTGTATAACATCTAAAACCCTTGCGCATGCATGAAGTCTCTTAAAACAGATGGCTTTATGCTACGTCCATCCCGGAGTCGCCTCATATCGCGTCGAAGCAGAGAAAAGTCGCAGCAGCGCGGCCTGGTTTACCGGGGAAAATAACCCGCGCCAAATTGAAAGCCAATATCTTGGGGGGGAGTAGCTCGGACCTGCAGGATACGAGACGTAATAATCCGCGAGCGTGCCATTAGTCGTTCGAGGTGAGAACAGATGAGGAATCAATCATAGTCCAAGTCACACACGCGCGTTAGGTGATAAATTCTTCCGTCCCGGAAACTGAGCTGCCATGACTCGACCTGTAATTCTCCCAGCCGGCGAAGACACGAATATTAAATCTCGTCACCTGTCGCTGCCCCCTCCGCCTCTTGTCTCCCCGTCTTTCCACTAGTTCGGCGAGCGTTCTCTGACTTAGTCCGCGTAACGTGACAACATTCATTTCTTCACCCGCGACCGACGACAGATACATAGAGCGGGAATTGCCTGATCTTACGTCGTCCTGCGTCGCTTATGACCTGCCGCTACGCTTACTCAGAATGTCACGCGAAGACGGCAAAAAGTATGCAAAACCGTGACGTTGCTTTGTTCGCCCTTTCCATCATCCCCGAATAAACAGGCGTGGCGCTACAAAGGAGGGACAAACAAGAAAGAAAGCGGCGGAAACGCTTACCTCGTATTAGAAGACAAATTGTGCTCGGCTCTCTGTAACTCGCGAGCTTTTTCTCGGACACGCATTATCATCTTTATATCATTATTAAAGCGTTCTTTGACGTATTTTATTTAGAATCAAGTTTTTCACGAGCTGTGTTTTGTTAAGACGAAAAAAGGAGGAGGATGTGATTTAATCTCGACTGCATAATGTTTGAATAATTCGTTCGAATTTTGAACTCGACTAATTTTCTCCAAATATCGAATCAACAGCTTCTCAGAATAGTTAATAATAGACCGTACACTTTTATCTTGTGAACGTGCCGACTAGTTTAATTTATAATCTGTTAGTAATTGTTTAATGATACTTTTGGCTAGGGTCACTCGGCGAGGCTCTTGGCAATGCAATTGCTCGATCCATCAATATCTATACAGACACCATACTGGCATGTCACGATCGGGTTCTGTTTTCTTCGTTATAGGAGCCCAGCTCCAATCTAGGGCCGAGCCACTTTCTTTCGTTACCCCGGAAGACGAATCGGATCGAATTCCGGGATGTTGGGAGAAGTGAACCGTGACTGATAAAACGTATGGCGAGATACGAGCGCCGTATATCGCTCCCTGGACCTCTCTTTCTCCCAGCGGCGCTCCTCCTGTGCACGTTCGATACCCCCGGCATTCTTATCTTTTATTAACATGATGCGACAACGATGTGCGCGCTGCGCAGTATTACGGGAAATCCGATTCTTTAGAGTGAAGTAGCTATCGCGGTGTCGTCGCTATTGAGGGTCACTCGCGCGGAATATACGAACGCG